CATGGTGGAATACCAACTAAAGGCGACAGTGTGCTGTAGTTTTTTAGTCGTGGCTAACTATGACTCCCGAACTCAAATGAGTTTGAACCTACGTGAGTGTTATTCCCTCTAGTTCGTAGGAGCTGATACTTGCGTGTCTGATGCGCATGGTTGCACGTTTTGCTACACTGATTGGGAGCATCCATTATCTGTACCACTCTAACAATTTGTTGAGGTCCTCTCGCAACGTGAGCGTATCGCTGTTGCCCTCCAGCTCTCCCCAAGTTTTAAGTCATCTGTGTATAGGACCAAAGGGGAGTCGATGAGCAGAGATAACTCACTGATATACAAAATAAATAGTAGAGGTCCGAGTACCGTGCCTTGTGGCACTCCGACACGTGCTGCTGTCCAAGAGGAAAGTTTCGAGTTGATCCTAACACTCTGACTCCTATCTATGAGGAATTCCCTGAGCCAGTTTAGCAAGCTGCCTTTGATACCAAGACTTTCCAACTTCATGAGTAGTATTTTGCGAGGAACTTTATCGAAGTCTGTGATGAAGTCTATGAAGACGACGTCAACGGGTCTTCTTTTATCCCTTGATTGGACCCAGCTTTCTCTTGCAGCGAGCAGTTTTGACAGACATGAGAGGTTTCTTCGGAAGCCGTGCTGTGCCCCAGATAATAAGCTTCCATTTTCTAGATATGCCATAATGCTTCTCTTGATGATTCTTTCCAGTGTATTGACTAAAGTGCTGGTGAGACTGACAGGCCTGTAATTTGAAGGGATGGGGGGGTTACTATGGCGTCTTTCCAGTCACGCGGCAGCACTCTATTCAGGAGAGAAAGCTTGAAGATCGCAGTTAAAGAGCAGGCTATGTGGGCTGATAGCTATTTGAGAAGTCTTGGATGAAGATTATCAGGACCCATTGATTTCCCTGCATCTAGTTTCATTACACAGTTGAGCACAGTGCCTTGGTCGTTGTCAACGGAATCTGTCCCATGTTCTTCTGATGCAGCCAGAGCTGATCCTATAGGCAGTGATGACTCCTGAGTGAAGACTTGGGAGAAGTAGTTTGCCATTTCTTCTGCTTTTTCTTGACCTTCTTCGATTAAATCATTGTTAATAGTCAGGTTTTGAACACCATTGAATGTTTTATTCCTGAAGTTCATTTACGAGAAAATTTTCTTCGGTTGTGCCTTTGCATTTTGAGCCAGGTGTGCTTCGAACTTCACCCTTGATTGGCGGATTTCCGCAATAGCTTTATTTCTAGCAGTGTTATATAATTGCCTGGTCTCAGAAGTCCCAAGTGTGGCAAACAGGTTCCAACATTTGTGTTTACGTCTGAATAACTTACGAATCTCTCGGTTTATCCAAGGAGGGCAATGTTTCCGACCCTTTGGGACAGACCAAGGGATAAAAATTCCAGCTACTTGGGCGTAAAGTTGTTAAAATTGGTTCCATGCGGCTTCTACTTGAGACTCTGGGTTGATGTACCAGTTTACTGAGTTGGCTTCTGAGACGATCGCATTTATATCAGCTTTCCAAACGTCTGATCGAGATGGGTTTTCAGCACTTGCTGCTGTTGCTTTGAACTTGAAAGTGAGCACAGCATGGTCACTTCTTCCTAAAGGAGGAAGGTGTTGGATGAGATCCAAATCCCCACCGTGGGAGGAGGAGTGCTGTGAGTCATAGCGCGTGGGCTTAATGATATGTTGAACTAGGGCTAGCGATATACTAGGTTCCAGCAGTTTATGATCAAAGGAGTTGTAAAGCTCGTCCATTCAACTGTTGGGGCGTTGAAGTCGCCAACTACGAGACTTCGACATTTCGAAGTCCAGGAGCCCAGCTTCTCTATTAGGAAGTCACCTGCACTGCAGTCAGGACTGCGGTACATAGCAATGAGGTCAATGTCTTGGCCTATGCATTTAAGTCTGCAGCGTAGAAGTTCGCACGACTCACTTTCGTGAGCGAGTGCTTCGATGCTACGCACGGTTAGGCATTTCTTGAAGTAGATGACTACTCCACCTCCCTTGCGGTTTGGTCGGTCCACCCTATGCACGTCGAAGTTTGGCAGGTTAACTCCGTTGCCAGTGAATTCGTGTGTGAGCCATGTCTCTGTGATAATAATAACATCCGGATTTCTGGAGTCTATCATGTTAACCAGCTCAGTCCGTTTATTCCAAAGGCTGCGGGCATTTGTGTGGCAAACTGTCAATTCAGTTTGGTGCTTCCCCGGCTAACCCACAGGGGTTTCGGAATCATTAAACTGCGAACTCGGACAACCCGAAAATCCTTAATGTTAAGGTTTTTCGCCGTTTCAGCGTCGTCCACTTAATTCTAGGGCCGTAGACTGTCTTTTGACACGGTCTGCTAGGCTTAAGTCGGCGCGGACATATATGCCTGATCCTTTAAGAATATGACAGTTGCTTAGAATAGCATCCCGCTCTTCTTTCGAGTTTAGTACGACTTTGAGGAGACGTACAAGCTGACTTAGTGTAGGGTCAGGCTTTTGGCCTATTCTATATGCACTGCGTATAGTAATGCCTGATACTGTTTGTAGCAGTAGCTTATCTAAAAGGGGCTTAACCAAGTTATGGTCATGAAATAAGGTATGAAAAAAACAACCGGCTTGTGGATAATTGTATTAAAACCAAAAGTGGACATTATGATGGTAAGACGTTTATAGGTGGCATTATTCATTGCAAAAGAACTTTGTCAGCGTAAGGATTATAGTCTCCCCTTGTATATAATTTATGAATGCATCTATTAATGATATATTGCACTTACCTATTTCATTACACTTTGATGACTCACCTTAGCGCCTTTACTTTTCTAAAGCAGCTTACTATCCCTTACCTCAATATTGGTTGGTTATCGTATGCCTACAACTACGGGTTGAAAACAAAACGAAGTCGATTTTCCTGCGCAACCTGGAGGACTACTGTTTGATTCAATAATGATACGACATGGGTCAGACAAATAGTGTATTTACATATATAAAAACAATGGTTGAAAACGAAACGAATCAGAAGGTATAATATATATATTAATATAAATAAATTCATTCATGTTTATGCAGGAACATACCAATTGTACAGCCATGGATAAGTTATTATATAAATTACACATATTTCGATGTATGGTGAATTTACATTTTGGTTGTTCTTTCTGACATTAGAGTCAGTCGGAACAGTCTGAAAAATAGTCTGTCTGTGTAACACATAAAGAGATATAGAAATATTGTCTTCGCATTAACAAAAACGCAGACATCAGATGAATGTAATACAAATATCTGGGAAAAATTAAGCTTGAAGTCAATTCCCCCATATAACTTTGTTATGAACAGCATCCTTGACTTGAAGTTTATTGATGTAATATGTTGAGGTCAGTGATATATTTATTCCATTATTTTTAGCAGTCCTATCGTAGTTTTATAATAGGAGAGAAATTTGATCGTGGATACGAAAACTAGATAAAGTGATGTTGGATTGTTTTACTGCATGGAATGGGGCCGAGGTCAATTCCAGAATTATCCATTGGCACCATTTATGTCAGCATGACAGACTGTACACGTAAGTTGAGTAATACATTGGAAGCTGTTTTAAAACCAGTTGCTTCTTTATTTCAGATCAGAAATACTCCTTGTACAGAATGTTTGCCGGCATCTTCAAATGGTAGCATCGGATCGTTCATGGAATTTGAGTGGTTATGAGCTAGTAGCTTGAGTGAAGACGTGTGAATTTACTTGAATGGTCTGAAGTCCAGCTTTACTTCAGTTAAAATGTAGGGTTGATCGATCTCGACCAGAAGGTAAATAGAAGAGTAGGCTAAACAGCGGAATACCAGAAAGGGAAAGTATGTGAACATCAAAAGAACATTAATGCCTTATGAACGTATAAATGTTTATGTTTATTGTATATCACTGTATAGTAAACATTTACCTATAGTGAAGTTGTGATTTCATTTATTTTCGCGAAGTCTTAGAGTTCATTTAGTGTCATAATATATAGTAATATGTCTAAGCGTTAAAGTGTTCTAATGACTGATGCGTTTTAGAAATAAGTGGTGCTGTCTGCTTTCCATAGTCTTTGGGATGAAACAGTTTATATAACAAGCGTTTGAAGGTTATAACAGAGTGACATGTCCTCATTTCTAGGGATAAACTCTTCCAGATCTTAGAGTACATGACTATGAAGAAGTTTGCACGAAGTGCTGTTTTACAGTATTTCCTAGATACTGTGCACGTTTGGTTACGCAGGTTGTAAGAGCCTTCCGGTGAGAACTGTATCCCCTTGCTGTCTGAGAATGATATTTCATACAAGACTTTAAAGACGAATGTTAAATTAATGCTGAGTTGTCTCATCCAGAGTGGGTCGATACCTAGAGTTATACACCTTGATGTGTAGTCCTTTTCGCAGTCAAATCCTGGTAGTTTAGACGTCATTCCAGTCACGCAGTAAAACTCCATTTATAAGGGAGTGCTTGAATATCGCGGTCAATGGGCCGGCTATGTGAGCTGAGACTGAAGACATTTTAGAACATCACTTATATCGAAACCAGAGAGGCAGCCTTCGTTAACACTTGTGACACTGGAGAAAATGGCATCTGCAGAAGAAAATGAAGAAGATTTGTTTAGGACATGCACATCAAATGAATAAGGGGTAATGTTTAAATGAATACCACCAGTATTTTCCTTGAGAAGGTAAAGCAGCTGGAGGAAAGAATTTTCTGAACTGTAACCTTATGAGTGTCCACCACAATGCCGAAGCATTAAATCGCAGAGCCCGAGAAAATCAGTAGGTACAAAGTCGGTTCGTATAGAGAAAACATACCATATCGTAAGATCCTGCAGCGTAATTAATGAACTATAAAGAAGACATTTCACTGTAGAAAAAATCAGTGATAAGTCGGCAGCAACACATTCCTCAAAAGACATATTTTTTCCATACATTGAACACTAATTGTTCTTATGAATCACTTTGTAGTACTTTGATTTGCCCAAGGTTGACTTGCGAAATTCGATGGCGGCTCTGTTCAGCAGCCTATATCGTGCAACGGCTCTAAGTTTCTTCGTGTATATATTTCATTATACTATCCTTGTGTTTAATGGAGATAAAAAATTTACACTGGATAACGTCATAGCATTACTGCGCTTTCTTACATGTCTGACTATGGTATGTGGTGAATGTGTTACCAATGGTTAAACTTTGTATTCCAGCTGCTGCAGATTGTTTACTACGCGCTGGCAACTCCTTTGCAATACTGTAAAGCTCTAAAATGGCATAGCGCTTTGTACTCTGTTACACTCACAGCCAATTTAGTAAGTGAATGTCTACTTTAACTTTCCAGGTTGTATGCGTTTTATTCTGGAGTATATTCATGATAGACAAGGGTTTACTAGTGAAACCGTCAGAAATGAAGATGAAGACACTCCCGTCATGGTATAATCATTCATGTGTAAGTGCGGCCAGTTAAAAATTATGCGTCAGCATTCTGCGGGAAGCCTTGCTATAATTTTAGATGCCTTACTATGGAAACCGACAAGTGTTCCTGTACGAAGAGCAGTCTTAATGGTCGTAGCATACTTTGGTAGCTACTTGATATAGTAGGTTTCAAGTTTATTTTGTATGTTGACACATTTTTACTGCGGCAAGACTTTCGATGTCTTTTTCATGATATTTCCAACGTAAAATGCAACAACTAGTATTACTTTCCACATGAATCCTCCATCTTTGGTTTTGATGTCTGCATTTCCTGTTAAATTGAAGTAGTACCGAGTTAACTCACGGTTTCAGTAGGATTCTGCTTTTGCGTCGGATGTTATTGCTCACTAAATGAATGTGTTGCGTAGATTTTATAGAAACATGAACTTGAAATGTACAAAATGTGAAATGCGAGGGATATTTGTGCCTATCTCTTCGAAGATTGTCCTCACTACTCGTGCTTTTCGCAGATTGATGTTATTATATAGCTGAGATTAAAGTACATTTCGGAGTTATTTTTCATATATACGAGTGGGTTTATTGCATTTCTTTTGCTGTCAGTAAGCATTCGAATGGTCCTGTCGGACTCACCTGTCATTGAAACGACTAGCATGATCGTTTTATACCCTCACAGTTTTCATTTGATAATGAGTTGGAGGCTGGTTCGAAAGCAGACAGCGTTGGATGGTAATGTAAATTTGACTATATCTTGAGGTCTCACTCAGTGATGTCATGCACTTTGTTCACATGCTCATGGAAACTCAATCGAATAAATAGTATCACGGAAGTGAACCTATTTGATTATCACGCTGATCAGGGTTTCAGCTCATCATACGAACTTGAGTAAAGCAACATCAATTTCTTGAACGGCAGAAAATATTAATAAGACCTTGTTTCGCCTCTACCTTAAAATAATTATAAGAAAGAGGCGCATGTAACTAGTATCGCGTCATTTTAATGTTTCCCGAAGTTAAAAATATCACTCTAACCAAATGCCCCAATGGGTGTTTTCGTGGTCGCATGTAGTGTGTGGTATTTAATGTCACTAAGTGTTCTTGTTAATAATGATTACTTCTCCGAATTGCTTTATTACATGTGTAGAGAGAAAACCTCTTATTTTTCCAGTTTGCAGCAAATTTTTAGAACTATACAGCACTATTCGAAATATTACTAATTCTCACTCTGAAGTATTCAGATTATCTTACTTTATTCTCTTGGCTGATATACATCCACCAAAAGCATCTGGAAATTGCACATCGTAATTCAATTGCAGTTACGGGAATCTATTTACTGAGTATTTGACACACACTTCTGGTGTTCCACAAACATCCACTTTACTGGGATAAGATTTTCTGTACTGCCTTCTATCTTTTTTGTGTTGTTAGTAGTGTCGATTTATTTGTGCGTTTGGAGTTATGAAACCTAGTGCGATATAACTGGCGCAGTTGTATCTGACTTTCCACTATCTATGTCCACAGGTCGGTCGCTGTTTTGGTAATAGTAAGCAGTGCAGTTCTTTAGAAGTTATGGTTCCGTAATAATCTGTAAGCCCCAATTCGATATATCAGCGAAGCAACCAATAAAAGATGCTTAATAACATATAAACGCACGTGTCTGTGAAAAACGCCGAGTACATGTAATACTATTTGTGTACTGAGGCCTAAGTTGGTGACGAATTTTTGCTTCATGACTCATTATTTGAATGTGTAATCCAATAAATATGAGGTTCACATTTACATTCATTTGACAGATAGTCTGATCTTATCTGGTGGTTTAAGCTAACTAATCTGATGCTTAAATGGCAAATGTATAGTTAAGAAATGAAAGATTATTTCGGTTTCGGTAAGTTGATGTCTCACATGCATTCAAGTGCTTCACTAGCAATCTGTACAACTGACTACTTTAATTCGAAATACGGATACTGCATCCGAACTGTTGTTATCTGTTAAATTGCTTTTGTGACAACTCAAGGGTAATATTGTGTTACGTTTTTCTAAACTATCTCATTTTAGTGTGGAATTCCTAATACGTATGCATAATCTTTATCCATACCCTATACTCGCAAACTTTTCCGAAGCTGGACGATTTGGATTTTATGGAGCAGTAATGATTGGAATAGCATTATGCTTTGGAGTCAGTCTGTTGGTGGTTCGTTTCATGAATAAAACTCATAAAAAGGGGGCAGCTAAGTCGCAACCACGTGGAGAGAAGAAAGAAACGGTTTCTTTTCATAGTAAGCGCACACCTATACATACCCTATTTGTCTTTTAAAATTAATATCTGTTTCACCTCTAAACTAGTGCTAATTTTCGTCAAAAATCAATAAATGCAACTTGGTAGCGATTCACTTGCTACCCTTTTTAGGTGGAATTTAAATATTCAAAATAAGAAGACAAGTTTGACCGGGGTATGTTATGGCGTGCAAAAACACGCTTGTAGACACATTTTTGACAACTATACTGTCCCAATTTCGCTAGCTTTTTTGATGATTAATAAGGATGGTATTGAATGAACGTCATGGTTTTAAAAACACGCATTTCATGAAACTGCAGGCGCCATGAACATTCAAAATTGTTTTTAGCATTAGGCAAATGAAGAAGACCGTTTTGAGTATAAAGTTCCCCATTATGTTTAGCAGTGACAGTTTTTCCTATAATTCCAAGAGTATGCTCACAGACATAATCGCATGTATATATATATATATATATACTAGCTGAAGTTCTTTTTCCCCTGTGTCGTAGTGTTAAATATTCTCCTTTAAAATTACTACTCTAACCCACATTGCTTATGTTATCGATCCAGTTTGTCCCCCTCTTGTGTTTGTAGTTATCTCAGAGATTTTCTTATTGCATTTTGAAGTATTATCTCCAAACCTCAGTAACTATCCTTGTTTCTTCATTCTTTTGAGACTAGTTTTTATTATTCAAAATACTTGTGGTTTTATGAATCATATGTTTCATTGAAAACAGACTGAAATGTTCACTTTCTATTGCGAGGGCTTGAAATTTACAATCATTATATAGCTTAGCGTTTGTGCTGGGGACCTGTTTTAAAGTTACCTTTTTATACTATGTAGCATGGCCACAACTAGATTTAGCATAACCAACTGAGACATGACTGCTATGGTTTTCCCTTGCTGCCATCTAACACTGATATTAATGACACTGAAAGTCTTTCTATGTATTTTTGTAACAAATCCAGTTCTTCATTCGTTTACCTAATTGTTTATATCGAAATGAGTGCAATGAATTATATTTGTTAAGTGACAGATTTGTTTTCCATAAGTATATTGTCGTTATGTTCTTTCCTATCTTTACTGTGATTAAGTGCTGTAAATCGAATGGATGCGATTTATATTTGTTAATATTTATAGTTGCCTTCCATTCACTAAAGTTTTTGTCACAATTAACTAAACTTTATGCTAGTACATAAATTAAAGTTGAACTAAACCTAGTAAACGTCATAGACATTGTCCATTATTCCCCTACTTCTCAAAATCATAAAATAATTGTCAATACGCTTTATTGATGTCTAAAACACATCATTGCTTAGGATTTACATCAGTAGGGTTACATCAGTAGGATTTACATCAATAATACTTAGGATTTATTTGATGTGTAATTCTTAAAACTTCAAAATTTCACTTATTAGTAAGGCTTTCTAACACTTACTGTGTTTCAAAGAGATATAAATACTAAGTAATTGTTTCCGATTTGTTAAAAAGTTGGTGTTAAGTCTCGTTTTTACAACTGAGGGCCTTCCTACTATGTAGGCTTTCGTAAATAAAAAAAGAATTCCGAATTCTAATTGTCTTGTGCTTTCTCTACTGTATCAAATTATAATTCGTCACATCTGTATTATTTGATTTGTGTTCACATTTTGTAATCAACACATGTTCGATTTTAAGTAATAAAAATAAAATAATTGCAAACCATTTACCAAGTAAAATATTTTTCAAAATGTAATTGACTATTGATGGTTACTTTACTTTACTTCGGCTATCTCCTACGGGAGGATGAGCCGGCTTCATGAACATCTCGAATCATCGTTGCCCAGGCGCGGCGATAAGAGAGTTCATGAAGTTTCATGGGAATTTGGTACGAGTGATGTCCGCAGAATCGCTCGGCCTTTTGTTTGAGGGTGCAGCTCTAGCCTTTACACAACCAAGTGTGACCTACAAGGCAGTAGGAGTGGAGTAGGGAGTCCACTATCCATTGGCAGCCGGTGACCGGAGTTCGGTTCATACGCCTTTTTGAATGGGGCCAGACATCCAGGACATCCAACAAGCCCTTCGTCCATACGTCTGCCGGTGAGCTCCAGTGAGCTTCATACGCCAGTCGTTGGAGGTTTGGAATCAGGGCTTAGCCATCTCCCCTAGACTGTCATCCAATGGACAGTCAACCCGGTGAAGAGCGCCGGGCATCCGCTTTCGCCCTCTCACTTTGGTGAAAAACACCTCCGCCACGTGAAGGCAGTGAGTAGGACTTCCTCAGGAGAGGCTATGTAAGATGCCCGGTCATATGGGAGCATTTCAAGAGGTGTGCGGAGGGGTGGCCAACCCGCAGCGCAAGGCACCCACCCCGACCATCCTGAGGCTTTGGAGGCAGTGATGGTTACCGAGGTTAGACTAGATCTGAATCCGAGACCCGTTCACTTGAGAGCTCACGCATTAAGCTAGTGAGTAACATTACCACCATTCTTATCTAGTTGAGCATTGACATAAATAAAGTGTCATAGCCTATACCATGGTAAGTCTTCAGTATATCCAATCTCTGGTTTCTAAGGAGTGCTTGAATATCTTGTAGGTGTGAGGCTTTTCAACATTTCGTTAATTATTAAGTATTGTTATCGCTGGTAGTGGTGTGTATAACACGTGTATGAGTAGAATATAAGACTGTTACAAGTCTTATTAAGAAGTATATACTAACCGGATTTTCAGGCTTTGGATATATTGACCATATATATTTTCTCTGAAAAACTCTTCAACTGTCATGTTAAACCTGGTCTTTTGTATTCCTAGCATAGAAATTGTGTTTAATTCGCTTAAGAGGGTCGTAAGATGTGATTCCTTGTTAAAGAGGCATGTTATCAAGAAGTTCAGCACAAAAAGCATATTTTCAAAAATGTCCTAATTGTTTTAAACTCAGCTTTCTTGATTCAGTCCTAGTGACATTGTACAATGGAAGTGTACTGAAATGTGCTTCAAAAGTCAGATTTATAACGTAGTTCTACTCTTCTTAAGTGAACGTTAACTTCTAACTAAGTATGTACTACAACTCTGTAAGTATTATCATAACTGTGTTGATAAGCTTGTTCGCATTCTGTGGAGACACAATAGAAATGGCTCTAACTTCTGATGATATATGTTTAACTTAGTAAAAAATCATTCTGTGAACGATATCTCAAGACACTGACTGCACTCGTATGGACATGCGTTATGAATCCTGTCTAGTTATCTTCCATATTGTTCATTGTTTCCTACTCACAGAAATGATCAGAAGAATCGAAAACACTGAGTCCATGACCATACCACCGTTGGATGAAAGATTGGTTTGTGATTTGCTGGTGCATCACAGTTTCGTAAGTGGGTTCTTAGGGGTTCAGGTCGAAGGTTGAAATCTGTGGTTAACCTACTATGAATTTTTGTTTCTTCGAAGTTGTCAATTTCCCTACCTTTACATAACCCTAATTGTAGCATCTATGTTTTGTACAAAAGATTTTGCTTTGTGCACTACCTATTTAATATGCGTAAACTAGTATTCCTTTTTATTTGTTTTACAGGTAAACAGAGGAAACCTAAAAAGGCTGACTGAAGTCGATGAAATGACATTTCTCAGCTTTTTGTATCATTTTTGTCATGTACAAGTGTGCTATTACTCCATGTTGTTATCATTACCCTCAGGCGAATAAGATCCGTTTCCATCTCTTGCTTTTTGTCATCTCTGGGTAGTGAAAATCAATGTATCGTCTTGTTCCTGTTACTTCTTGTATACATTTTCAAAAAAATATCTGTATTATTGTAATTAATAAACGCTGTTCATCGTAATTCTTTAAATCCTGATCACCACCTGCATGTACCTTCCCCCATTAGCTACGTTTATTAACGTCTAATTTTGCATTGCTTGGCTACCCAAAGGTTGATAGATTAAATGATTTCTCATTCACTGATTATGATTTCAGACTGATGGGCCACATCCTCACTCATCAAATCAGTGTACATATCCGCATTTGATTTACTGGTTAGTCTCAAAGTGAAAGTTATGTATCTTACCAATCTTGTCTTTGAAAATGAATGTATCAAAAGGAGGATTTAGTGCGACAGCAGTGTTCGTGAACAAACTTTTAATTCAAACCTCATAGTGACTATAGATTAATTAACGTTTAAAATGCACCCATAATAAGTTTAAACGGAAGTACGAATATCTATTTTATACTCTATTTCCATAGTAGTGTTATCTTAGGTGCTTGAATGTCCATTTTCAGAATCAGTGGGTTTAGGCTTCCGAATTCATGTCAAATTATATTTTCTGGTACTTATGAACGTGTGATCACAGGTACATTCAAACTCGTAAATACATTCGGGTGTCACGTCCTGTAGACGCATCGTAGGTTTCATTTTCCAATGACCTTTATAGAAGAATACTGTTTTTATTCATTGAACACTAATTGTTCTTATGAATCACTTTGTAGTACTTTGATTTGCCCAAGGTTGACTTGCGAAATTCGATGGCGGCTCTGTTCAGCACACTATATCGTGCAACGGCTCTAAGTTTCTTCGTGTATATATTTCATTATACTATCCTTGTGTTTAATGGAGATAAAAAATTTACACTGGATAACGTCATAGCATTACTGCGCTTTCTTACATGTCTGACTATGGTATGTGGTGAATGTGTTACCAATGGTTAAACTTTGTATTCCAGCTGCTGCAGATTGTTTACTACGCGCTGGCAACTCCTTTGCAATACTGTAAAGCTCTAAAATGGCATAGCGCTTTGTACTCTGTTACACTCACAGCCAATTTAGTAAGTGAATGTCTACTTTAACTTTCCAGGTTGTATGCGTTTTATTCTGGAGTATATTCATGATAGACAAGGGTTTACTAGTGAAACCGTCAGAAATGAAGATGAAGACACTCCCGTCATGGTATAATCATTCATGTGTAAGTGCGGCCAGTTAAAAATTATGCGTCAGCATTCTGCGGGAAGCCTTGCTATAATTTTAGATGCCTTACTATGGAAACCGACAAGTGTTCCTGTACGAAGAGCAGTCTTAATGGTCGTAGCATACTTTGGTAGCTACTTGATATAGTAGGTTTCAAGTTTATTTTGTATGTTGACACATTTTTACTGCGGCAAGACTTTCGATGTCTTTTTCATGATATTTCCAACGTAAAATGCAACAACTAGTATTACTTTCCACATGAATCCTCCATCTTTGGTTTTGATGTCTGCATTTCCTGTTAAATTGAAGTAGTACCGAGTTAACTCACGGTTTCAGTAGGATTCTGCTTTTGCGTCGGATGTTATTGCTCACTAAATGAATGTGTTGCGTAGATTTTATAGAAACATGAACTTGAAATGTACAAAATGTGAAATGTGTGCCTATCTCTTCGGAAATCGTCTTCCCACTGCCTATGCTTTTTTGAGGGTTAGCACTTTAGGTCTCCGTATTTATCTCAGAGTATTAAAAGTGTGTCTTGTTTTCTCAATCCATACCATATTCGTAAACTTTTGGCTGCCACCTGTAGTTGGAGCGGTGGTTGCTTATTCGGATGATATAAGGTAGCGGTTTCTTAAGATTTCCCCAGTTAATGGTAATTGGGCTTGTTTCTGTTTTTCTTATAATCATTGCTTGTCTCTTCTCTATATGTACTAATGTACATCGCTACCTCTTTTGACACTATGTTGGCTTCCGCTAGTATGTGTTTGAGTTTGTGTGATATGATACATAAATCAAGCTCGATATCCAGCTCTTTTAAGATCTCAGTCCAACTCAAGCCCGTCTTCTCACTCCCCACATTGTGCCGCATTATCCAGTCTACTATAATCAGAAATATCATCAGTGACAGTAAGGAGCGTTATTTTACTCCGGTTTACAATTATAAGCTTCGTTGGGTTTCCGGTTGTGAAATACTCAGCATATGGTTGTTAAATGGTGTTTATATATCTTGCGGCGCGCCGTATTGCTGAAGTAGTTTCCGAAATACTCCGCTGATGGATGTCATTTTAAAGTCAGTGAGGTGGAGAGTTGACTGTCATCTTAGAATTTGCGCAATGATGACCCGTAATGTAGTTTGATGCGTTAATGGCTTTCTTCCTAAGTTCAGTCTGTTTTAGGAGAGGTATTCCATTCAAGGTATCCTTTAGCCTTTACAAGATGTTGTGGCTTATTATTTTGCTTCGGGTGGACAGAAGCACAATTCCACCCTAGTTTTGCATAAGCTTTGACAGTTTGGTAAGGTAGCTTCTCTTCCAGCTTCCTTCCTTTCTACCACACTTATAGTATTAGCGCAGGATTTTTCACTGAGACCTTTGGGTCCTCTTTCAATGTTCTTGGGGGGATTCTATCTGGTCCTGTTGCTTTCTCAGCTTTTAATAACTTACGACCTGGACTTCTGATTTTTGTTGGAGACTAGGTATTGAGTGGTAGTTGTGTCTGGATGATTTTGATATTTTTTAAAATTTTATTATTTTATTCCTTCACGTTCCCAGTGGGACAAAGGGCTTCAAGCTAAAGCTTTAAAGTTTCGGTAGTAGTGGTATTTATTTTTACAGGATGGGGTTGCTAGCCTCATGCCCAACTTTCCCTCTTTATCAGTCTCATTACTGGCTTACCGAGGTTTAGGAGTGCGTTGGCCTGGGATCAAACCCCGAACCACCCGCGTAGTTGTCGAACATTCTACCTCTGTGCCACCAAGTGGTGGTTTATTCAAGAGTCCTCTGAAGTGATCAACCCAGTTTTTCCTCTGTTCCACTCTCGTGGTAACTGAATACTTCGGTGTGTTGTATGAAAGTCTTTTGTCCTTTCTAGCTTTTTTTAACTCCTTTGTACAATGGTATTTAGGTTTTGCTCAGCTTCTCTCTTTGTTCATCTTTTGTTATGCCATCCCCTCTTCTCTCAGTTATAAGTTCGTTTGTTGTGAGCTGTTACTTGTTCTAACTCTTCTTACGTCACATGTCTATGCGGATTTCCTGTCATTTTGCTTTTTATTGTGTTCCATTGTTCTTCCACACAGGTGATGTTGCTTAATATCCCAGACTTTACCTTGGTGACTTCTGTAAAGATGTCGTGTGTAGCTTTATCCCTCCATTTCTGAGTGTTGCTCTTGAATTTTGGTTTATCTCCAGCTTCTTTGATGATTTTCTACTTTATGTCGAAGTTTCTTTGCACTAGATAGTGGTCTGAACATTCAACCGCTTCTTTTCTCTATTTCATATCCAGTAGGCTGTGCTTATACTATCTTAAAATTGAAGTAAAGTATATATAACTTTGGGTGTATATCTGGTGAAATTCGTATCGCTTTGTGGATGTCCTTGTGCTTGTTCGAACTACCATCAATCATTCAATCATTAAATACTGAGAAGTCTGCGGAGGAGTTTCACGTCTTCTCTTCTTTCACCGATCACCCTTCGACTCTTCATGAGTTTTCTTCCTATGTTGTCTGGTCTCAGTTTGGCTTGCATTCAAATCATCCACTAGAAATTTAATATCGCCATCTGGAGTAGGATCGTGTCTATTAGTGCTTGTAGTTGTCTGTAGAAATCCTTCTTCCCTTCCATTGCGTTGTTCGTAGGTGCGTCACGTTTTGTATTCGTAATTTCTTTTGCCTTTGAGCTAAACCATGCTATTATGACCCTGAAGGAGTGTTTGGTCTCCAATGCTTGAGGATTTTCTATGCTGTTGATGACATCATAATAGCCACACCCTCAGTGTTCTCGTGATTACCGTCTAGGTGATCGAAGTATATTACAGACTGATAGTTGAAAATGTGGAGAGTAGACTTCCCTTCCACTTACACTTACAGATCCCTAACACTACGATGTCATATCTACTCATTTCTTTTGCAATCTGAACAGCCTTGCCAGCTGATCTCAGACATAGTGTGAACATTCCATTTCCTTATTTTCACTTTCGCTTTTATTGAAAGGAGGCACATAGGCTCAAGGTTTAACCTGTTGCCTTCATCCGTTCTCAAGTTAAAGAGTCTTCCGATTGTCTTCCAAGAATAAATTTAATTTTTCAATGCTTTGGGTTCCTCATAGCTAAGCAGTCGTTTTTTCCGGGGTGGGGTTGCTGGCTCCACACCCAACCTTACCTCTGTTCCGGTCTTAGGACCAGCCACTAAACTAGGTCAGTTTATGTAATTCCATAATAGAATAATTTTATTTGATAAAACATACAACGATACACTATTATATATTTACTGATGATGTATGTCTCCAACACACTTCTTTTCTCACAAGCATATCGAGGTGTTCACATAATTTCCAGATCTTGTTTTGTCTACTATCATTAGTTTTTCAATTTTAATTTTTAATGCCTCCAGGCCAACTAATTGGGTCATCTGTATCTCTTACTGTGTATTCAAAGAACTGTATTTCAGTCAAATCCAATACTCCCACTAGCGATCGAGGATATCACATTTGATCATCAATCAACTTCAGTTGGAGAACCATTGAAAACCAAAGATACTAGGTATTGGTAAGCGGTGGCGTTATATATCGCAAACTGGCCATTGAGCCATTGGATTTCGTCCCAGTGACTGAATGATCAACAAGCCCACCTTTTAACTTCAACAATCTAGGTTTGA